GGGGGGGACGAACGTGTGAAGCCTTTGCAGTTGGTCTGCACTCTTTCGCGATCTGCAAAGTCGACAATTTCTCTTAGTACACATTATATTTGTAGTCTTAAGTGATACGTCCTGAACTTTACGAATGCCCATACGACACTGCCAATTTTATTCTTTTGAGTCAGTCGGGCCGGACAGGCCAGATTTCCTTTATGGTGAAGCAGCAGCTACCGTTTTGGCACAGCACGATCGAATTCAAATGTGACCTTCAAAATCAGACATGTTGATTTTTCAATGTCCCGAGTCGAATCGGTCGCAACCTTCAGATGGGAACGGTCAATCACAATGTGTGCATCATACGAGTCACAAAGTTAGGGCCATTTTATGTTTAAAGCATGGATTGTGGCGGAATGTGATTATAGACAGCGTTGATGATTTGGAGAAGCTGTCAGAAAGCTATCGGTCTTTCCCACGTCTGCGGGGTTAAAAAACATCACAACACCGCAACCGCGATATTCAGAAGTCGTTAAAGCAATTATTGAAGATGGGAAATAGCTACGTGTTGTGGGCGGTAAGTTTTATATATGTATATATACACCAACAACACTGCGAGCCGGTCAAAGTATTCTCTGTTTTAATTATAGGTGAAATTTAATTCATATTGTGTAAGGAAGGGGTGTATTCGTGATGTGCACTCTAGCCGCCATTAATCGCCCACACCCGACCGACGACCCGACCCGGCCCAGCCAATGAGAAGCCGGTAGATCTTGTAATAGAGAAATTGTGACCTTCGTCGCGCTAACTCGCTTGCTGTAACAGGAACGGAAACATAGGAAGCATGTCTGTTAGTCGGTCATTTTAGTGGTATTTGTTGTTGTTATTGTTAATGTGTTGTTATCGTTGTTTTGTTTTGTGTTTTTGTTTGTTTGTTAGATTGTGTGTGTGTGTGTGTGTTTGTGTGTTTGTGTATGTATGAGAGAGAGAGAGAGAGAGAGAGACAGAGAGAGAGCGAGAGAGAGGGGGGAGAGAGGGGGGAGAGTGTGTGC